CCCCAGATGGGAGGAAACTTTTATGGTGAAAGCCCCTTCAACTTTTCAATTTGTAAACACTTTGATATTGTGTTACCTTGGAGAAGACACTAACACTGTGATGTCCAGTGCGAATACCGTCCACTTCCCTGTTACTCGTAGAAGTTTGTCTTTCTTCTACCCTCTCCTCTCGCCCTCATCGTGGTCGACTTCACGCGTCAGTCGAACTTCTCTGGCCGTCCTTCCTGCTGGATCCATCTAGTTGTCCTTGCTATATCTTTGAGATTATTCATCATGGCCTCAAATGACCGGTTCTCTGTCTTTGTCAGTATTTCTCCTCTTCTCTTGGCCCAGCTGGTGCAGGCCACGGTCATGTGCTTCACATTCTGGGTCGAATATCCACATTGGCATCGTGGATTATCTACTCCTGGAACTTTTCTTTTGTGCAGATAGGAATTGAACCCAATGTGTTCGCTTCTTATCTGCATGGCTATGCTGCTCTAGGGCCTGCCGAGGTGTTTATAGATACTGGAAGGTGTTCCTATTTTGTTCATTACTGTCTTTCCCGTCTTATCATGTATAAAAATATTTGCTGCATTCCAGACTTTAGGATCTACTTTTTTTTTTTTTGCATCAGTATAGGATCTGCTGTCGCATGATGGTTAGTATTCTTTTTTAATATTACTTAACGTCGTGCCTGAGCGCAGCACGTGTTTTGAGTATAGCTTTAGCTTAGGACAAAATAAACAAAACAAAACAAACGTGCTTTGAGTTATCGCGTGCCGGTTGGTTCAGCCTAGGAAAAGGCTAGCCGACGTGCCAGCGCCCTTGGTAGCCCAGCATTTTATGTGAAGCCTAGAACAAACTAACTAGCGTCTTATCTTACAAATATGTTTAAGAGAAGCGAGCTCTTCCGCTGAGTCACTTTAGGTTTATCTGGTAGAGAATATTTATCTACACAGTTTGCGAGGGAAAACGAAATGCCGCAACGTCGGCTAGCTTTCGCCTAGGCTGAGCCAGTCGCCACATGATATGTAGTAATAAATGCTGTGCGTAGGCAAGACGTTTAGTAGGAAAGAAAATAACTGAAAAATCATCGGGGTAGATAGAAAAATCTACATGATAATAATATCAAGACAAATCACAAACAAGCAAACATCATGAAACCTACTCCAGAATTAAATGAAGTACTTGCGGATACAACGGGACGTCGCTCGGTATGACGAAAGCCAGGACGATGCGCTGGCCCCGCTATATTCTCATTAATCTATTTTTAACCCAACTTATCTCATTGGAGCACGAAAGTCGCATAATTGGGGAGTTATATCTGCATGGCAACTAGTTGTGTTCTATTGTTAGCTCTCTGCATTGAGGTAGTAAGTGATATTGTATTGTAATAATGAGGTTATGAGAAGTCTAAGAATTGTCACAATGGGTGTAACAGTCAACTTGGGTTGATGTAGGATAGCACTTTAAGTCTAACGTGAAGAAGACAGATATATATTGTAGATCTGCTATATTGATGACTATTGAATATAAGAGTGGAAAAGGTTGATCATATACAGAGGTCTAGTAGCGAGTATTTATACACAAAGACAATACATACAATATACCATCAATAGCAATAACTGCCAACCATTCAGCCATTCAACAACTATGTCATTAGATATACCTGCGTCATATTATCATATAATCATGTATGGTTGAGATACTGGTGTTGTCATTGCTGTGTGCCGATGACGTATCATTGACGCAGGGTCGCTTGTCCTGTTGGTTCACTTGCACAGTACTAGCCATTCCAAGTTGTGTGATCTATAAGTGGGTCTGATCACAACATATTGGTGAACATATAATTTTAGGACTTTTTGTCTAATCTCCTGCCGAGCCTATAACTGTATTAAGGCATGTGGGTCCTTTCTACCTATAGACCGGAGTAACTATTTCGGGCTCAGGATTCCTTTGCCGTGGTAATACATCCAAAGGTCTACATTCGAGTACACAATTAAAGGAGCCGTTTTACCGTCAGCATCTCATATATCTCCAGTAGATAAAACGATGAATTTTTACACGCTTTTAGCTGTAGGAAAAATTCTCAAGAACTACTGGGTGCGGGGCTCTCCGAATACGAAGCAGCCGGGCGCAGTAGGCCTGCGTATGTCCAAGAATGTCTCTCAGCCTTCTTAGTCTCCTTCTTGCTCCTCCCCTGATCTATACCGCAGGAGAAATCGAAGATCTTATTAGGATGTCAGAAAACTATTGGTCGAGAGCATCTGCCGTGAAGGAGCCTAGCCTGGCATCCTCGAATAGTTAAGAACATGGGTTTTCGAGTAAGTCATGTACTTTCAGATGCCCTCTTGGCTAGTAGATCCGGAATTTTGAAGTTGTTAAGACGATTGTACCGACGAGTTGAGATTCGGTTTTCTTTAGGGCAGAAAGACCCTCACTTAGCTTCCGTGGGCTTTTGTTTACCCGTGGGCGATAAGTGTTATTGTGATATGACAGAGCTTCTCTGAAAAGAGCGGAAGTGTCTTATACCATAATCCATTTCTTCATTCCCAGCATGATTATCATTACCATGGTCGTCATAGGAATTATGGGGAACGTATATCTGCGAGAGGGCTAGGTAGCACAGCTCCAAACACTATGAAAGCCGCCATGGCTAGATGGTGCTATGGTACATCATCCGGTCCTGTCTCACAAGTAAGGTCTGGATGGCTTGCACACATTTCCCACTCAGGACAGGAAATCTCTGGTTCGAGTCCGGCAAAACACAACCACATTTTTCACGTCGTTCATGTACATGAATGAAAAAGACATGCTTAGATAATCAAAGCTTTTAAAACGTCCCTTTGGTGGGTAGTTACGGAGGAGGGTCGACTGTTTGTGTAAGCAAACATACATCACAGTGGTATGTGCAAATGAAATCCAGAGTATCAGTGTCTCTGACGTCAAAAATGTCATTCTACATGTATACATAGCTGGATAGCTGACCACGCGTTGATTGTTTAAGAAACCCAGCCAAAATTTGAGAAGTGAAATGTAAATCTCGGCTCTGCAGACTTTGTAGTTAGAGCTAGAGGTTCGAAAGGGACGCTGCTGACAGGTATTGAGTCTAGGTTGTGATTGGCAGATATTAGCCAAGCCTACCACGTGATATTACTCATGCAAGAACTTTTGTCTGTCTCTGCTGCTGAGAAGGCTTGATATAGGTAAGACCTTTGAGTATACAATTTTCTCAATAGAACAGTCTTCGTCTTCCTTGGTCTTCAGACGCATGCCAGGGTTATCTTTCGATAATTTTCACCCTGTTGGGTAGAGGCAAAGAGAGATTCGTAGTAATGTGAGTAAAAGAGACAGTGGAAAGCCTGCGCCATCGAATGTGCCAATGCTCTAAAGAGCTACGGGGTATTTTCCGCGGCCAAGGGATCATGGACTCAAGCTAGTTGGTCTAGGCCACGGTGGTGGGGAAGACACTGCAGATGCAGTGGAGGGTTGCACTGCAACTTCAAACACCCTGAGCCTTGGTCCCAAGCCCCGGCACAAACAAAGCTTCAACTGTCGAAATGCCAACGGGTGAGTTGGTAGATTCATCATAGATGTCTGACAGGAAAGAGAGAAACTTCACCTTCAACCACCGTGCCAGAGTATTCCAAGCCGGTCGTTTGGAGAGCCGTCTGTACTCACGCTACCGCGACGTCACCTTGTCGGGTTCTACCGTGACGCGCTCAACCCCTTGTCAGGCCCCCTAGCAGTGATGTCACCTCACTCTAGACATTTACATGTGATACACTGATGCCTGCATGATCATGTGACTACGCGCGAGCAGCTGAAGATCAACTTCACCCTTAAACCTATTGAAATACTAAGGCGCCTCGGAAGGGTGTGCGGTAATTGTGAAGATGGTCACGAGCCCAGCTGGGATCGTGAAAGGTGTTGGAAGCTGTCTTAGGCACTTCGAGCAGCTTCGCAATCATCGGTGGCTTCAGACGATGCGTTGCTGGTGAATTTGAGTATTACGAGCAGTGTTCAATTATCTTCAGGTCAGAGCACCTTCCCAAACCGATCCAACTAACAGCTGAGATATAATTCGGTTCAGGATTAGGTCTCGGCTCTAAGGAGAATTTTCACCCCGCTTCCCCCCCGAGTTTGAGACACTTCTGGAAATTAGTCTCGAAATCTTTCACCTCAAGCTAGGGGGTGGGACTAAAGATTGGATATGGCGCAGCCGCGTCATTGCGTTGCTCTCTGAGACCTATCTTTGGTGGCTACCTACAGACAAGGGTCATCTATTTTATGTAAACAAAGATACAGAGCAGTGTTATTCGCGGGTCACAATAAGAGCAAGGGTGTCTATAAAATTATAAAGATCACACAAGATTTGCATGGCTTAATCAATGTATGCTATAGCTCAATACGGAAGCACACATTAAAAGATTCGAAATATGCACTTTCATCCTCAGTTACCCGCACCTTGGTTTTCGTTTCAGCGAGAATGAGAACGTCGGGATAAGCTGTCCCGAGTACACAAGATTGAAGTATGCGTGATAGAACTCTAGAGTAGAAAAAAGCTAAGCAAACATTGCAAAGGAGAAATTGCATCAAGTTACTTCGTTTCTGACCCTGTCAGCATCAAAAACCACCGAAAGGCATGTGTTCTATCGTTGGAGATCGTCAATGATAAACACAACACATGTTATACAAGCTTCTCAAAAGAACTTTACCTTCGATGTAAAGGCGGATGTGATAATCACAAGTTAATCCTACAGCTTTTTGAGAGCTCTAGGTCTAAATTTTTTACCCCATATTAAAGTCAAGTCGATAAAATATTCCCTCCAACCTAGACAAGTTTTTGTAGGTAGTCGAGCTAACCAATGAGGATTAACATGTAGGAAATCTATCTTAACCATGTAACAATTAACCCTACCTCTGATAGCCACGACGGAAAATTGAGAGGTAAAAACCCCAATCGCCAAACTCCCACGCTCATCTATGATAATACTTGGCCAGGCGATGTTGAATCTTCACCCGGCTGATCGCCCTAATCCAAGCATGCTCTCATGGTCATCTACGGTCCATCTTCTCTTTTGTCCGTTATCTAGCATTTTATCTGATAAACTAGGAGAAGCATGCGGCCCCCATAGACCCCGTGGCGATCCATCCGTTGCAAAATTTAGGCTTGCAGGAGAGTCTCGTGATTTGTCCTTCTCCGATGGTAGCTGGTTCTTCTTTTCCAGTTTTGAGTTCAAATTGGTGCTCGTACTCTCAGTACCAAAGTTCAAAATCATCTCGTCTTCCTCGGTCTCTTCACGTGGTCTTGGTGCAGTCCAAAGTCCAACAGAGCTGAGTGGGTGTGGAGTGTAAGATCGCGCCGCATGGCCAGTAGTTACACTTGCTGTGCGGCGGATACTGCCGAGACAGCTATTTTGTGGTCGTGATCTGCAAAGATGTGGCATATCTAGTGATGCTGAGTTGGTCATTCGGTCTCGTATACTTGAAGCTCCCGTCACTGACGGGGCCCTTGAAGATGATGGTGTTGAAGAGGCACTGCTTCGTAAATGTTCATTGCTAGCGACTAATTTTACCTCATACCGACTAGAGATTGGAGAATTCCTAGAAGTAGAGGATGATCGTGTATTTATTTTTCCTGTGGATGGAGGGCTCTCTACGGGTTTTCGAGTAGCCATAGTTAAAGAAGCCATACCGACGTCAAGTAAAACTGGTTGATTAGTCAAAGCCCCTATTAGAGCATTGCAGCCAGCTCCATGTGTAACCAATATGATAACCAGGTCTGTGTCTTCGGCAGCAGATTCTATTTCGGGACTAAAAGTGCGCAGAGAATTAGATCGACACCTTGTTGAATTTTTGCCTGCCTCGTCGCTCTTCTGGTACCACTCTATTAAGTTTTGAAGTCCGGATCTAAATCTTTTGTGCATAGAGCTCCACTCTTCACCATATTCACCACCATTACCCCAATTATGCGGCTCTCTCATACTATCCCATTGATAATCTACATTTATACATGCATCTCGAGCATGTGACACGTATCCAGGAGGAATGGGATCTGAGCCGGAAACAGCGTAACTCGGTACTGGCGGCTGATAGACTCCATTGGCGTCTTGAGAGCCAGGTGGTTGTCCTTGAAGGTCAGTACCACGATGGCGATTCCCATGGCTACCACTACTACAAAGGCTGAAAGTTCGGTCCCTTCTGGGTAGCGCCGCAGCAATCGTCGATAGATTGGAGAGTGGTCCTTCATCCTTTTGTTTATCTCGAATCATATCATTTGAAGTGTCAGAACACCCCCATCCGCCAGGAAAAGGCTGGTTCGATCGATAGTCTTTGGTCTGAACTAGATTGCTATAGTCCTCTCTTCTAAGAAGGTCAGCTTTTGCACTGGTAACCATCATAACTGAGCCAGGGGGTGGCGTAATTTGATCGAAATAGTCCGGAGATAACCACTCTCCTAGGAACGCATCAACTCGGAGTGTGGCCCTCTTGATTTTCTGAGGCTGTTCTATTATTTTGTCCCTACACCACGAGCTTGAAGGCTCTGGAATTGGTAGAAGAGCTGTCGAACCGGTAGCTGGAAGGCGTGTCATTGGAGATGAGTGCATCGGCTTATTGCTATGCGACGGAGTGACGATTTTTGGCGGAAGCTGATTGGTACCATGACTTTGAGCTAGACCTGCGCTGATAGCAATAGATGTTTGAACACAACGCAAAAAAGGAGAAGTGTGTATGATGATATTGTGCCGCCGTTTTCCTGTCACTTTGCCGCTAAGTGCTTCAACACCTTTAAGAGCCTCGTCACCATTTTCGCGACTGCGGAGGAGATTCGCGATCCGCGCGCCTAATGATTTTGATTGACTCCAGCCACCATAGGTAAGAGGGGGATCATAAGGAGTAGGTGATGTAAGATGCCACTGCGGGTCAGCAGCATCTAATCGAGCGCCGTGCCTGTATTGAGGTTAGTTTCATTCGATTTAAAGTTGGGATAGTAATTTCAAAAGTGTTTTGTAGCCTCTAGTAGCATTTGACACTTTGGTAAGCTCAAGGGAAGTTGTGTGTTACAAAGGGTAAGCTCATACATACCTGACAACAATAATGACTGCTGGAGAACCCATCACAAGGGCATTCTGGAGAAGCTACACTATGAATCGATTGAAGACGCCTGGCTTGAGGCCCTGTAGACAGATAAATGGCTGAATTTAATGGATGTGACAAAGTCGGATTTGAACAAATGTCGTTGTGATCTTAGAGGTTCCAGAGAGAAGGTTGCGACCCAAATATTAAAGGGGATTTGAAGAGTTTTGGCACGACCGCACCACCGTAGTTGGTCGGTCACCCCCTGTATAAAGCACGTTGTACGTAGCGGGGGTGGGGTTAGAAGGAGCGTTTGCCGGTAAATTGGCGCTAGTCATTGTTTCATACACTTAATTCGGCCTGCGCAACCTGGTACTACCACTAGCCATAAACATCATTCACCTTCGTCAGATTTCAACTTGCTTAATCTGGAAATTGATGTTTGAATTGATTCAAACGATATTATTACTACATGTTTGTGCATTGTCATAGACTCACGAGGAAAATATATACTCAAAAAATGAAAGAAATGCATTGTACCTCAATTGTAAGTACATTTAAAATTCACATCAATTTTAAGAAGCTAATCAAAAACACGTGCTGTGATTCTTTTAAACTGAGGCTCAAACAATTAATAACTCGCTCGGTAAGGTGGAAGACAATGTGACAGAGAAACCCATCATATTTATGCCCCAATACTTTTTACCCAACCGAACTCAAGCCCAAATAGTGAAAAACTCCTTTGCATATTGTGGATCCATAGAACACAAGTAGAAGCAAACGTGTAACAATGATCTATCCATGATACGGAGATGAAACTATACCGAGAACCCTGAGTGATCAAAACATCTAAACAATACAAATTCTGTTCTAACACGATGATTCCTCATGAGGAAGTTCTGCAAGTCATGGTTCTGCTCAGTAAACCTATAAGGGTTTGAAAGTGATGCGAAAACTACTACAGAGTAACACTGAATTAAAAAATCTCCTGATGGTGAGACACGAGCTCTTAAAGTCGATCTAGTAGACTTGGATGGAAACGATATGCGTGTCTATCATTACTGATGTTGTAGCATATCCTTTGACATGCAATTTGGATTTGGAAGAGATTGACTCTTTCAAGTTCGCACATTGGTATACCAAAATCTGAATCCAACAGATACAAGTATCGGCGAGAATTTAGACTTGAAGTTTCTGTTTGTGGTCACGATCCGGCAACTACCAGGCAAAGGAAGTGTATATCACTTTCTTTCCAGTTAGGAGGACAGAGGACTGTGTGCAAACGTACCTCGTGACATTGTGCTATTGCGGATCGAAGACTAAACACCTGGCAGCGGGGTGCCCTAAAATCCGCCCGTCCTTACCGCGAGGTACACAGTGCAGAGTTTAAACGCAGGAATAGCTAGGTAATCCTTTTTTCAAATATCAATCTACGGCAGTCTTGACCCCCCCAATAAGTTATAAGAATCTTAGACCTGGCTAATTCACAGCACACCCTTCCTGTCAAGAGTTTCCTGACGTTTGAACACCATCTCAGATTAGTTCCAAGCTGCGATTGAAAATAGTTGAAAGAATTTACAAAGGTGTAAGATGCTTCTCTTAGGTATATGCAACTCTGCAGTGGCCGGCTTCTCTGGGCACTTCAGAAGAGTAGCCATTTCTTCGAATTTCGTCCAGATATCGATATTAGGTGAGTCCCGTAACCATTGGGTTATGAAAGGGAGATATGAAGAAGGCATATTTGAGGATATACAACTAGATACATGGGTATCTTTGGCCTGTAGGCATATGAGACCTGCATGTCCCGTATATTCTACAGTGAGTATGGGATGAGTATATAAAATAAATAGTAGTATGATTGTGCTCCTAGATAGTCAGGCACAAATTCAATGTAGCTAGCTACATCCTACTTTGGCAAAATGTCAGCCCTATGTTGCCTTGTCAAGGTCGCCAGTAAGGAAGTCCGAGTTGCAAAAGATGTTACTCTGTACTGCCGTCAACACAGGTTGACCACATAAATTTTCGCCTTCGATCCCTTGCAACGCACCCATATGAAAATGAGACCGTCAGAATGGTCCAGGCTTCCAGTTCTAACATTGCTGTGTTTTGTCTCGACGATCGTCTTAGCTGAGCATACTAGCAATTGGGCAGTCTTAGTATCGACATCCCGATTTTGGTTCAATTACCGGCACATTTCCAATGTCCTATCCTTGTATCGCACCGTCAAGCGACTGGGTATTCCTGATTCTCAAATTATTCTTATGCTACCAGACGATATGGCATGTAATCCACGAAACGCTTTCCCGGGAACAGTATACAGCAATGCAGATCGAGCTGTAGACCTGTACGGTGATAATATCGAGGTAGACTATCGAGGATACGAAGTCACCGTAGAGAATTTTATACGTCTTCTGACTGATCGGGTTGGCGAAGAAATGCCAAGAAGCAAAAGATTATTAACAGACGACCGAAGCAATATTCTAGTTTACATGACTGGGCATGGTGGTAATGAATTTTTAAAGTTCCAAGACGCGGAAGAAATTAGTGCGTTTGACTTAGCAGATGCATTTGAACAAATGTGGGAAAAGAAAAGGTTGATAATCACTCTTACACCTAATATCTTCTAATGATTGAGTAGGTACCATGAACTACTCTTCATGATTGATACCTGTCAAGCAAATACTATGTACAGCAAGCTATATTCTCCAAATATAATAGCAACTGGCTCATCCGAAATTGATCAATCCTCCTACTCGCATCACGCCGATAATGATGTTGGAGTGGCCGTTATCGATCGATATACGTATTACAACCTTGATTTTCTTGAGACTCATGTAAGGGACCCAGGTAGCAAGAAAACCTTGGCAGATTTATTTGATAGTTATGATGAATCCAAGATCCACTCTCACCCAGGCGTTCGATGGGACCTATTTCCAGGAGGGGAGCAACATGGTCGAGAAAGATTAGTCATGGATTTTTTTGGGAATGTACAGAACGTTGAAGTCGATGGTGCAGTAAACTTTACAGACAATAGTGAAGATTTACTTACTTTAGGAAAAAAAATTTCCCAACTTCAGAAGAAAAGCGATTCCCAGGTAAAACTTGCGAATGAGACGGTCCAAGAAAAATTACCCGAAGTACCGAGTAATATTAACTCTGGAGTATACAAGGTAGAAGACGCAAGGAATTGGTGGGAAAGAATTACAGTCGGGGCCTGGGCTTTGGGTGGTCTTTTAATGGCATGGTATGCGGCATCACAACTTGAGGCTTGAAAATTAATGTGAAAATTGGAAACGAACCGTTGACCGGAGTGTTCGCGACATCAAAATAACGAGGGATACAGCAAAGCCTTCGATTATCTTCCATTTGGAGCTTTTAATCGACTGTAGATCTATTGAAGTTGAACACTCCCATGCAAGCAATAGCTTTTCTGCTCATATCCTACCCACCTAGAGGAATTATCATGAGCTGATAAAGTCAAGCTTTGTTTGAAACTTCTAGCTAAGACTCGGTAAAGTAGTATTCTTTTATCAATGAATCTCATTACATGAAGGAGAGATCTCATGCGCTTTCGTAGGCCATCAATTAACCTATCTGAGGATAGGTTCTCAATAATAGCTAGCTACTTATCTAGTTATTGTCTCATGGCCTTCTTTTTGGTTCTGTCAGAAATTCAGCCACCCCAACTATTGAGATATGGAGAAAATAACGCCTAAGCCTACATTCGTTGCTATCTTCAACTAAACATTAGATTTAAGTATAAAACCACTCTAGGAGTGATGTATTAGCGAGTTCAGCATACACAATCTATCGTAAAGACAAACCTTTGCAGTATGCAAGATAGCGTTCAGTTGAGTCTAGATGAAGCAAGACTGAGATTTTTTGTCAGTTTTTATTTCCAATGATTTATCCCCTCCTGTTTCACAGATAACCCTAGTTGAATTATAGCGTTTAGTTTTTTTTGAACTTCCTTAATCTTTTTATCTAACAAATGGCCACCAATACAGAAAGAGCAACAATACAAAATGCATTCAGAAGAAGTAATGGGCCTTCACCAGGAAAAACTAGCAAAACATAAAAAAGACGAGGGATAATTTGACTAGAGTGCGGGGTAGTCTCAGGATAGCGCGTCTGGGAGGGATTACCATTTATGATCAAAGTGGAGGATATTTTGAAGGCGCCCACTGAATATTTTGGTGCCGTAAAGAACCCCATAAAACCTAAAACCATCGAGAAAAGGATGCTAGCATTGGAAATGATCATTCAAAGAGGCATTAAGGAGCCTATCAGCAAGGCGGCTCAAATAACAAAAAATTACCCAGCAGGTCGGCTATCTTACGCCTCTGTTGTGTCGTAAACGATATTAAAGGAAGCGATGCCAGTATGAGTTGATGGTGCATATAATTTCCAACCAGAGAAACTGCCAAAAAAGAATTAAGATCACATACCAGCTGCCTACATGCTAGGCAAATGAGGGGCGATGTTACAGAGATTTTCGTACAGTGAGCGGCTTAGATAGCTCAGCTTGAATCTTGTAAAAATCCGGCAAGATTACCCAGCGAAAGTAATCGGAGTCCCGCTTAGAAAAAAAATCATGGAGGGCAAAGATGCAAATAATCAAAGTCTGTCGATGAAGTGGAACCGGTAAATAAAGTTAGGTTTCCGAGACTGCAGATTAATGTTATCCGATAGTACCACAACTGGAAATAGCATAGTTAGACTAAGATCAGTGGCCACACCATGGGGTTTGTCATTATCAGCTTTCCATCAGAGATGTGGTGAAGAACAGCATCATCTTGAGCGTGATACATTTCCTAACGTATCCCAACTCATACAGAGCTCAACCTATACAGTGTTACCACAGCGATAAATGGAATTGCACTCAGGCATTATGTGGAAACGCAGCGAGATATGGGCAGTGAGCGGGCAATCATCAAGCTTGGGACCCTAAAAGAAGTAAATATCATACTACAACTGTAGGAATTCACACAGATCATGGAAAAGGACAGAATTTAGGAACTTTAAGATCTACAGAGGAAGTGCGAAATTAGCTAGGATTTAGCTTTTAGGGCGAACAGCAAACATATTTCTGGACAATTTAGTCGATGTGACAATAAGAACGACAGGAAACTCAAAAGCAGTGAATGAGGATATCTTCGGAACTGTCACTAACAAGAATGCGGGAGCACCTGGGAAAGTAGTTTCGACCCCGATAGAAATCGAGGCACTTGCACCATCTAGACGGAAATCTGATCTATTTTAGTTCACGTTCTCTTCCCGAGACAAATTATCTTTCACTAAGTAGTTAACAGAGTCAAACTTCAAATAACACCAACGTGCAAGTAAAGACAGACTCACTCAGAATAAACACGGGGCATGCGCTTGCAGCGGAATTGCAGGTTTTATTGCTTGAAAGCCTTTTCCTTCAATTATATGGCTATTTATCATCATTGAACTATAAATTGGAACCGCATAGAACAGCAAACAAGAATATTTAAAACATCATTTTTCACGAAAAGCGGCACCAAGTTCCACGAACGTTATTTCATCGTTTTTATTATTGCATTCATCTCAATCAATACCTCTTACCTGATTCCCCGATTTTTTTTCGTTGCGCTTCGGCATGGCGAGTTGGGGAGCCAGTAGGGTGGATTTTGCGGCTGAAAATTTTTTCACGGCACCACCAAAACCAACAATGGGCAGCGGAACAGCCACAATTACGGCTGTAGAGTCTCTCGCGACCTCTACAGGCGTTAATGTGGATTATTAAAAGATAGTGGCGAAGTATTTAAGTAAGGTCCGACGCGGACTTGTGAACTCAGGTTCATACATATCGGCGGCACCAATGGTGGAAATAGATGAGGCTCTCGAGGCTTTCAAAGCCCACATTCAGATGTTATAATCGAAGATGTCGGCACAGCCAATGGAGGACAGGATGCTTGCCTTAGAGAAGGCTATTACGAAGAGTCTCGAGGAGCCGGCGCGCAAGGCGGCTCCTCAGTCGGCGCAAATAATGGGAGGTCGACCTACCTATGCCTCAGTCGTCGCACCGCCAGCGACTAAAGCAGCAGTAAGGATACGAGTCGAAGGGGCAGAAAATATGCAGCCGGCAGAGCTGCTTTACAAGGCAAAACAACATATCGAGAGGGCATATGCTGTAAGAAAGCTTAGGAGTAACGATACTGAGGTGTTTGTGCAGTCGGTCTGCCAACGAGACGCTGCCTTGAGGATGACGCAACCAAAGGCGTTCAGCGTTATAAAGTAGGATTATCCCGTTGAGATTTTAGGAGTCTCATTGGGGACAATGATACGAGGAGGAAAGAATGCCAATAACGGCACACTGATAAATCAAATCACAGAGGAAACAAAAGTTCGGATTCCCGAAATTAAAATCAACAGGGTGAGGTGGCTTTACGACGGTAAAGAGCACCAATGGATGGAAAAAAATAGTCATACTCGAGGATCGGTTATCGCGAGCCTTCCGACAGAGGCATTTCAACGCGAAGTGATAAGAAACGGCATTGTCTTCAACTCAATGCTTTACACGGCCCAGCTCTGGTCACTCCGTGCGCAAGTTAAGCAGTGCTTCAACTGAAGCGAATGGTGGCATACTCAAGCCTCGTATATCAAGGCGAAAAGATGTGGTGAGTGTGCGGGTACTCATCAGACCAGAGACTGCCCGAGGAATTCGGTGCTTTGTTGCAACTGCGGTAAAGCCCATAAATCGTGGCAGAAGGGGGCGTGTCGGAACTTCGCGTCGTATAAGGCCAGCGTTCAAAGGGCCAGGTACGAACTCATGGAAAGAACGGCAAACATAAGAAGGGAGGAAACTTTACCAGCGGCAAAACAAATGGACGACCAAGGATTCACACTGGTGTCCCATCAAAAGCCAGAGGTGTTCAAGAGGGAGCCAGGACGCCCGCGCAAACAGCCCCTGGTCAACCCACCGCCTCAATTATTTGCGCCATCGGGGTCAAAATCAAGACCACAGTCATCACTTTTCAGCACGCGAGGGCAGGGAAGGGATGGTGAGGTTTATTTTAGCTAGCCCTGTCTCGGACTGAAGGCCAATTGCACTTCCTATAGGTAACGAAGTACTATAGATGAAATTAAAATTAATAGGGGGAGGGGGGTTTTATCGTAATGGTTTCCCCCTCATGTAAATATTAGAGTTCGTTGACACCTGCATGGGCCCATAGGGCGCCAAATCGGGATAAATGAAATCAAATTCAAAAAGAATATTTATTTAATATTTATTTACAACAGTTCATAAAGTTGCGAAGAGTTCACGCAGCTTTTGAAATTAATTTGCCCACTTCCCATTGTAAAACCTTTCATGCGATATCATGGCAAGTATGGAAGCTAGTGAGAGAAAATGTTACGGCGTGCGCTAAGGAAACTGGAGATCGCCGTCTGCCGAAGGTAAGGTATTAATAACTGTTAGGGTTACAGTTGCTAACGAAGGATACTTAGATATGATTCGATTGGCGAGGTGCCAGGTAGTCAAAGGTTGTAGAACTACAGAATAGTTGAAAGACACGAAGTCAAGAAGTCGAGTTGACGAGCAGGCAATCAAGGCTGATAACTCAGGGTGAACAGAAGTACGAAGAATATAACTAATAACGAAAGACTGAGAATATTGGACTGTGAGAATATAAGATTATGACATTATGTAAATCTAGATTGCAAGATCAAAGGTCAAAAGAATGAAAGATTGAGAAGCTGGAGAGCTACTATGTGGCAGCTCCAGCTTCCTTAAGTCTAACTCGAGATAGTACTTGAACTCAACTAAGACTATGACAAATGCCGTCATGACGCCAGCCCCTCCATCTCTAGCTGTCAGAGTTTTCTCGGAAACCTTCTCTGTAAACCTATTCCCAAAAACTTTCTGAGAACCTTCTCCTTGAAACCTCTTCAAGGATGCCTGGCCACAACAGAAAATCTAACTGTCATGATGCATCTTGAAAAGCGACAGTGGTAAATAAATCTGAAGGCAGTAGAACGTAATCAGTTCCGAGGGATTAAAAACCTTGAAAGTCAGGGAAACTACTGAAAAATTCTAGACTAATCATTACAGATGAAGTGGAGAGGTATAATTTTTCCGCCACAGAGAAAGCAAACGAAGCCTTTAAAGCTTATAAAACCCATAAAAAGACCCGCATAGCTACATTCCGCGGAGATATGGCCTCAACATAGCCTAATCGTACACCTCTCAAGTATTAAGGCGTAACTTTATCGTCGATACTTGTGGAGTCCATTAAAAGACGAAAAT